GGACAATAAAATTATATTCATATCATAGAAAACAATAGAATATGTGTTTAGATGTATTTGTAAGCATCTAGAAGATTGTACAGTAAAAAAAAAACATGATATACCATGAAACAACTGTGATGTGCTGTGGTTTGGAGAATGGGGGAAGGGAAAATGGTGGGAGAGGAAATGATAGAGGCTTGGCTGAATGAAATATCCTGTACAGTAGGAAAACTAATTCACACCAACTACATTCCATTTACAAGAAAACTCAGGCAGGAAAATGCAACCATATGATTGGCTTTGGGAGTGGAGGGCCTACAAGGTGATATCATGGGTGTAACTGGAGGAAAACTTGCCAAATTGAGTATGAAAAAAGCTTGCCGGTTTAGAGCAGGTTTTGCAAGGTTGTGACAAACAGTAATGCCTGCACATTATGTGAAATGTTATGATCGTGACAAGTGGTACTCCAGGGGTTAATCATCACTTCCTGACAATCCCCATATGCCCCATTCCTTGAATCATGAGAAAGAAAAGTTTTCATATAACCATACTGATAACAAAAATAATAAAATTAGTAATGAAAGTCACAATAGAAATATAAGCATTCTTAACCCATTGCCGACGGGCATGCCATGTCATGCCCACTGTGAGTTTACTTGTTTAATTGTTTTTACATATAGATGGCTATACTTGTACTAAGTCACCAATGAACCAGTTACGAGTACTGCTCGTCACGCCTGTTCACCCTTTTCTTTAATTTTCCAAAATATTTTACGTTATCTTATTTTGCTATTACTAATGTTTATAAAATCATAGTAATTATAATGTTTATAATATAAATAAAACCATCGATATTCAGAGCACTTGTAAAAAATACATTTTCCTGCCAATTCAAGGAAAGGTGAAATCAGGTACAGCAGAGCCATCTATGTGTAGAGACATTTCACAAAATAATATAAAAATGAGCACAGCATTTTCACCATTTTTTATTCATTTTCCCCAGCGGCAATGGGTTAACCCAATGCAGACGCGCCACACCCACTAACGTCATGACAAACAGCTCGGTCTGTGGGTTATGTCTTATGTGCGGCGACACGCCAGCGCATACAAGCAGGACATTCGGCTTGATGTAGTGGACTCCCACACCCAGTGTCTGCACGCTGCCAGAAATCTCCAGAGTTTAAAATTCTCAGGGATTTTTTTCACTCATCAGCATTGGGTTAATGAGAATTCAAGGAATGAGTCTAAACAGATAAGACCAGGTAGGCTTTCAGATGGTAACTTCTTGGTGAATAAGCACCTGTGATGCCACCTGAGTATTAACAAAATCAATAAAACAAAACCACTTTAGACAGTACATGTAACTGCTGCCAATGGGTTAAAGAATATTTTTGAGCTGAAATATGGAAGGGAAGAAATACCAAGATTCTATGCTAATATATAAGCACACAAGACTTTAGGATAATTAAATCTGTAGATTAGTGTTACTGTTTTCTTTATTACATGGCACAATGATGATGGTGAACATGAAGTGATCTCAACTGCACTCTGCAATGGATAACCAAGTAACCTTTTCTCTAAAGAAAGTGAAAAAGGGAATAGTAGAATATTTCACATTTCCAGACACTGTATCTGATAAATGAAACTTCAAGAAGGTAGGTGGAGGACACTTTTAACATATGAAGAACAGGAATATGATAGCTATTTTTGAAAAAAAATCTTTGTCTTGACATTCTATCAACCTAACTTTTCAGTCTTAACCAGAATATTGCATCTCAAATCATTTATATATATATATTTTTTTTTGTAATTTTTGGTTGAAACTTGGTTTCTGGGGTGGGGTGGGGGATCTATCACAGCTGCAAGACGATAAAAAAGATGAGTGTGGAAAAGATTCTAAATCAACCTCTATTTCATTTATTCAAAAAAGAGACTGAATGACCATGTGATTTATCATTTAATCTTTTTACTTCTAAGAACAAATACAAACATGTTAATGCTACAAGCATTCTCCAGCTGATGACATGACAAGTGTTAGAAGTTACAAGATACCATGTCCTTGACTAATTCATACTTCATAATCTTACTGGAACCTTCTCATCATCACTCCCATTTCTTAATACAAGAAATAGGAGTGGAAACTACATTTCAAGCAGTTATTATGTATAATACTTACCCTACACACAAATTACCCGCACTGTTTGTGACAAGTCCTAGAAAAAGTGAAACATACACACATATGCATATGCGCACAAACACAAACATAAACGTACAGCTCTGGCTTCCTATTTCTTACTCTCTCCGTCTCTAACAAACTGTTTGCTTCTTTTTTTCCCCAAAATGGTGTCCAATGTGCAACCATTATTCCTTTTCCAATATCATGTATTTTACATTCTAGTAATGGCACATATCTTGATTCCAGTCCATCCTTACTAACTATACAATCCAACATTTTAGATTAGAAGATCCCTTTAACATATAATCAGCACTCCCAACCATATTCAAAGGCTGCCAGGCAATGCATAAATCAATCACTTGCCGTTTTGCTTCATGCTTTTCTAGCAATGTACCCTTATGGTGTTAGATTATGGATATTTTTGATATTGCATTCAAACTCTTCTCAACCAGTTCTCAGGCTTGTCCTACTGTAATACTTTCTTGGACAAAGAATATGTGGAAGCAAGTCATCGGTACCTAATTGTAAGATGAGATCCTCCATGATGTAAACTTCCATGGAAGGAAAATCTACTTGTTATTTTTCATAATATCAGTTAAATCAAGGTAAGTCACAAAATGCTAGGAACATTATTTAACCTTGATAATTGGATAGAAATCTGAATATTTTTCTGCTACGACCCTATAAAACATCAACTTCCAGATGCATGTGGTTCCCACTTGTACATTACTTCTTCACAAGGTTCTTATACATTCAAATAATTTTTTTTGAGGATTTACAATAAAACAAATTTGTGATAGATGATTACTTTGTAACCTAAGGGACAGATACTTTATCAAGCCATCTTCATGGATATCCTTCCCTTTTCTTTGGTTAGTTATTAACTGCATGTAGTCCATCATAAATCCCAACAGACGGTATGATGGTTTACACATGATCATTCTAGTTCTTTCCAGTCTTCAAGATCTGGCAGTCTTTGGATCAAATTTTGAGAGAAACACTTATAAACAATAAGTTTAGAAGGATACTTCGGTCTTGTAACTTTTGTATCACATTATCAAGTGTTCTTTAGCTATGAATGGGTAGTGATTCAATCGTATGATTTTGAGATTACAAAATACTACTCTTTAACTTTTTTTCTTTGAAAAAAAAAAGAAGAAAAGAAAGTTATTTCTAAAAAATATATTAGAAACATTCTAACATTGATAGTGAACAACCATGTTCTTGAAAAAGGCTTCTTCATAAAGACAATGACCAAAAACATTAGGATTATCATAAACCTAATCTGTGGCTCAAAATCTTACATTCTCTACACTTGCACACACAATATGGCTAGTAAAACTCAGCTGACCTCATCACAATGTGGTATATAAAAGGAAGACACTGGTGGACTCTAGGCTATGAGCTCTTCCAGGGCCTTGTCTCTGTCGTTATCATGTTTTAAGAGAGCATCAACTATTCTTTCATCCTCAAAACCTAGATCACACAGCTGAAAGAGATGCACAAAATTACCATAAGGCCAATGGACAGAAAATTCAAAAAAAAAAAAAAGAAAAAAAAAAATATATAGTAGCAAATGCATGCAATCGAAAAATAAAGTTCATTATATCAGGTCTAATCTTTCTATCACCATTAACATGGTCATTCATACGCCTGTCCTATTGTTATTCAAAGTTTCATGCAAGTTATACGAATCTTGACAACTATATGTTATGAGAATCTTAACCCAATAACAGTAGAATAAAAAATGGGTTATTGGCCAGTAATATAGTGTTTTTGGCATGAATCGGCAGTTTCCCTATTTGCGCCCAGCTTGTTCGCACCTAATAGCTTATGCTCGTATTTCATTTTGAAAAATTCATATGTTCATATCTAAATCTATCTATCTATCCTGTAGGCAGAACTGGATTCGACAGAGAGCATTTGAAGGCTCCTTTTTCTAAGGATACTTTAATGAAATAACATTAAAGTCAAACACGCTCATTTTTGAAAACCTGCAGATTAAACCACTGTCTCCAGGAGAATATGGCGTTGACTTTGCCTCTACCCCAGGTACTAGGCCGACAAGGGTTGCCTTTTGGGCACTTGCTTCGACACCCAACAAAGGGATGCATATTCAGAGATGCATGATTTGCATTTTAGTTGCTATATCGAAGATGTAGTAGCCTAATTACGTACATTAGTATACATTTTAATAAATAAGGTATATTACACTATGTAGAAGACTGAATGTATTTCTATTGAGGGATAGGAAAAAAAAAAAAAAAAAACTTTTGCAAATCTTTTTCTTTACAGAATATGAAATCATATGGCAAGACAACCATGACATAAACCCCAAGTCATCCATAGGCTGTGACTTAACCCCTACAATGAAAATGACATGACAATCACATCATAAAAAAATTTGGCTTGAGGGGTGGGTGACGTAACATACCATCATGGAAAAATCTGGCTGCAGGGCTAACTTTCCGTTGTCATCATTTTGGCTGATTAGACTCCTTTGGCAATTTTGCATTAATCCCATCAATAAATGTGTGTGGAATGTAATGTCCATGAGCCATTACTGGAAGAGCACCAGCTCCACGCTCAGCATCGTATTCATAACTTAATCCACTGAAGCCTATTTCTGTTTTGTGAATTTTGCTTACATAAAGATGGCTCCACAAGTGATTATCCACAAAGTAGTCAACTGATCCCCTTGATCCAGATGGTGTAACCATCATGTCACGAACATCCAGTCATGGGAAAATTTAACTATGGGCCAGGGTGACGTGAACTTGCGGTCATGAGTGTTTCTGCTGAAGGCTGGGGTGATGGGGGAAAAGACTTGCCGCAAATGCACAAAGCCCTTGGAGGGTGGTCAGACTCATTTGGCATTTAGAAGGGGGCTTTTGCTGTATTTCCATCGATAAACAAGTGTGGAATGTATTGTCTGTGAGCCATGACTGGAAGAGTTCTGCCTCCCAGGAAGACACTGTTTCCATGCTCTGGATCCAATTAATGGCCCTCATGGTCGGTGGCACAGGTTTATTACAGAAAATTGAATATTATGAAAAAACTTGGTACAGAGTTTGTGCAATGAAGTCTTATTGCCATCTGGATAAAGCAAATCAAATGACAAATACATACAATGTAAAATGACAGAAAACTGAAAATGTTCACAAGTTTTGTTTGTACCTGGCCTGTACACAGTGGATGTAGCCATCCCATCATCAGTGGGTAGAAATGTGTAAATATAAGGAACAGAATTCTACGTGTATTCCTAATATCTTTGGTAAGCACTTCTTATAATTTTTCTTTAGCTCTTTTGCCATAGAAATCAAATCTCAAATGAGAATTTTAAAATATCACAGTTTTGTAGTACCATCCAATAGTGTGCTGCCAGTATAGTGCAGTGTAGTAGTATTACAGAGTCAAGATACATGACATGTTACTGTTTACTATAGTAACCTCTATACACATTCATCACACTAACCAAGTCTGGTATAAACACCCTTATGTCTTGCATACGTCCTGACTGATATATTAGTCACTAGCCTATTAAATTTTCTTTCTGTGAATCTAATATTTTACTTGGACATTTTGGACCAGTAAAAAACAAGATATACAGCTTTCGATGTTGTTATGCGAGATCCCAGAAACTAATATCTGATGTACTTTTTCCATCCATTCATATGGCCATAATGATAAATAAGCATTATTTTTCAGCTTCTGGAATTGCTACCCCCTGCAAAAATTTGATTTATTTTACTTGATGCTATTTGTGCTATCTTGTAAAAATCTGAACTAAAAATGTATTCCCCTAACTTTGTAATTTGGAATATTATAAAATGTATTGTATATTCCATAAAAAGTATCGTGTGACAGTACTGCTCCAACTAAGGCAGTCTATAACTACTGCCAATTTTATTTACTAGTACTACTACCACTGGTTCTATGAAATAATGCTTACTCGAGAGTGATTCTCAATATTATGGTGAGAAGGTTACCCAGTAATGCAAAACTATGTGGATAACTTTTAGCTCTACTCGACCATATTTTACTTTATTTCTTTAATCTAGATACTGCTCAAGCACAACTTAAGTAAAAAAAATAAATAAATAATAACAATAATCTATTTACCTGCTTTGCTGCTGCCAAATGGTCTTTCGTTTTTTGCAAGTCCCCCATATAGTGGTAAAAAGCACGTTCTGCCTTGTATTCATCTTCTCCAGCGTCCTGGAGATTTTGCAATACCAGAAGAACCTCAATAAGCTGGAAATGGAAAGACAAACATCACATATATAAACTTCATGTAAAAAAAAAAATAATAATGTTAAAAATAAGAAGCAAATTTACACTGTAAAGCATACAAGTTTCTCTAAAATATAAAAATAATAACAACAAAAAATGTACAACTTGACACAGGTCTTTCCTGCAAGTAATTCCATTGTAGTGTTCTACCTTCTTATGATCAGTGCCCAGTTTCTGAACAGCTCTGGCAACCCTTGGTCGTGGAAAACCCATCTCTGCCATACTCTGTACTAAAGCCTGGGCATCAGCTGTTAGCTCAATGAAGGGATCTGGGAGACGTGTCTTTGTTGGCGTGTACTGATGGGATCCTGCCGTCGTCTGTGAGAGTCCAGGCTGATAGGAATGCTGAGCAGGAGAGGTCTCAGGCGTACTTGGAAGGTCAGGAAGTGGCTTCCAGTCCTGCAGACATTTTAAAAGTAAATCAGTCTGGATTTGGTAGGGAAATATTCCTTTTCTCAACCACAGAACCAAAGTTGCTACACAAAGAAAACGTGTGTGTGTGTGTGTGTGTGTGTGTGTGTGTGTGTGTGTGTGTGTGTGTGTGTGTCTGTGTGAGAGAGAGAAATTTACATATTCATGTATTTATATATTTCAAAGAATATAAACTCTTATTGGAAAAGTGATATCATACTTACCTCCAACCCACTGAGTCCTGTGCTTGAGGGTCGTGGTGGAGGTGTGTGTGAAAATCCTCGACCTTCCCCTACTGATGGAACCCTATTACTGTAAGACGTGACTTCAGAATCCTCAGCAGCACTCAAATCTGGAACACTTCGACAGGACCGTAACGACCCTGTGGTTGACCCTAAAGCACCAGAACTACTGCTATGGCTTGGTGTTGAGTCCCCAGACCTGACACCAGACTGCTGGACCTGAGTCACTGTTGATTTGTTTGGAGAATAGTATCGAGTGTAGAAATCTTCAAGGTCTTGCCTTTTGCCAACTGTTCCTCTTTCTATTGTAGAGCTATTTGACAGACCACTACTCATAGACACTGGCACTGTGGGTGCTGCAGTCACAGTCCCAGTAATGTTACTTGGACTTAGCAC